TCATACCTTCTGGTAATGGGACAAGTTTCCAAACCTTATTGTCTTGCATGGACTTATACTTCTCCTTCATTGATTTAATCCACTTTTGAGAGTTAGAACCTTGTATAGCTTGACGGAAGTTAACTGGGTCATCTTCCATTATATCATTATTTTCCTCATGTTCCTGAAGAAATACCATGTAATCATCCGAAATAACACTTCTTCTTTCTCTAGTGGATCTCTGCAAAGTTATTAGCTCATGATGCATAGGTTCTTGAGGATCTTGAATTTGTTCTTAATGAACAACCAAATCATCTTGAGTAAGGGGTTCATCAACAATGCCTTGTGGAGGTTTCGAACTTACTTTATCAAAAGTAACTATTTGAATCGGTTCTGAAATTTTTACCGATTCTTCCTCCAAGATGAAGTTCTTAATCTTATTCTTCCCCCCAAACTCAATATCCTCAAAGAACGTAGCAGTTCCCATCTCAAAAATTATCTTTAATGTGAGATCATAAAATTTATATACCCTGGATCTTTCAACATAACCAATAAAATAACTACTTACTGTTCGGGAGTCCAATTTCTTTTCATTTGGCTTATAAGGTCTTGCCTCAGCTGGACAATCCCACATATGGAAATGCTTCAGACTAAGTTGTTGTCCAATCCAAAGCTCATAAGGTGTTTTGGTAGCTGCTTTAGTTAGTACTCTGTTTAGAATATAAGTTGTCGTATTTAGTTTTTCTCCCCAAAGTGATTCCAGTAAGGTGGAATGACAAATCATACTCTCTACCATATCTTTAAGAGTGTAACACAAGCCCAAACATCACGATTTGATTGTTACCTGAACACTTGTGTCATAATGCACCTGAGTGAGTTTTTTCAATTTTATGTTTAGTATCACATGATTCTGTATTAAGGGTTTCATTACAGGTGGTCACAATATCAAGTAAATACTGATTATCATAAATCAAAAGTGAACCAGTTCCAACAATATTTGAATTAAAAGACAAACTGAACTTATAGTTTCTAAATGAACACAAATAACCTAATTTGTCCAAATAAGAAACTGAAACCAAATTCCGTCTAAATGACGGCACAACAAAAGTGTCTTTCAAATCCAAATAAAAAATCAGTACTCAATAACAATTTAAAATGCCATATAGCTTCCACCTCTACCGATTTTCCATCTCCAACATAAATCCATCTTTCAGAATCAATTGGCTTCCGGTAGTTTAGGCAACCCTTTCTTTTCACGCCAAGCATGATATTTAGCACATTTCTTCTTTACGTGTCCAGTTTTATTGCAAAAGAAACATTTGTTTTCTTGAGTTTGTTTCTTTTATTCTGGACCCTTAGCAGCTTCTTTCTCGAGATCCTCTGATCTCTTTCTTTTGCCCTTAGCCTTGGAGGTACTTGCAAAATGAGCCCTTTTTGTCTTGTCTTGCTTTAGTCTTTCCTCTTCTTGTACACAATGTGAAATATGTTCATTAAGATACCATTTATCCTTATGAAAGTTATAAGATACCTTAAATTGATTAAACGTTACAGGAAGAGAAATCAACACCAAATGAATGAGCAAGTCTTCTGAGAGTTCAAGCTTTAGTGCCTTGAGTTTAAAAACAATATTAGACATGCTCATAATGTACTCCCTGATATTTCCTTTGCCTTGATATTTCATAGAGATCAAGTTCTGAAGAAGAGTGTTTGTCTCTGCCTTATCGTTTTTTGCAAAGCGCTGCTCAATTTCAGCAAAGAATTCTTTGGCACTTGTGATGTTTCCAGAAACAATGCCCCTAAACACCTCCGGGATGTCGCGCTTAATGATCATTAGACTCATGCGATTTGAGCGATCCCACTTCTCATAATCTCTTTTCTGTTCAGAGGTACTTGAATCCGTAGAAGTAAGGGGTTGCTCAGTCCTTAACGCAAGATCCATATCCATGCAACCAAGAATAATATCAATGTTCTCTTTCCAGTCCTTAAAATTTGTTCCATTGAGGACCGGAACAGAATTTAAATTAACAGATACAGAAGCAATTGTAGTTGAATTTAGAACACGAGAAATAAACTAATTATGCTCACATTATATAAAAAATAAATAATATATATTCAAATAGTGGTTTAACCCATCTCAAGACACCCAATGCACCATCAATATCAAGTCTTTGGACGAGTAATATTAACTCGCTAGATGTATCTTGTTGTAATAATCAAACATTGACAATAAAGCACGTCCAACAACAAACCAGTCTTTAGATTGATTTATCATCGACAAAGCAAATTCTTATAATTATCACATGTTTATCATTACAAGTGTGTATGCAATTCGGCCATATATTAATCTTCCTTTGGGCCGACTAATACTCTCATGAATATACACAAACACTAACATTCAATATTTTTCATGAATTTCCCAATTCAAGAGAAGTTACTTTGGTGACTTCTTGACTCAATTTGCTCATAAAAAATATTAAACTACCAAAAATTGAATATTTTATTTATATAACAAAACCAAATATTTAATATTTGCAAACTAATTCAAAAGCGAATCACCTTATTAGAATTCTACTAAGGATGAACACCTCCCTAGAATCTCATTAGGGATGAACACCTCATTTGAACAACTCAAAGGATGAAAAAATGCCTCATTTTCCACCAATACATAAAGGATGAACATCTCCCTAAAATCACACTAGGGATGAAACAGAGATAGTTCTGAGTCTCTTTAGCATACTGCTCTAAACCCTAAAAGGGGATTAAACAGTAATCACTCAAACCCTAAACAGGGGAATTTAACATCAAATTTTCCTAAAGGCAATAAAATAAGAAGAGTCACACCTGTGGAAACATTCACCATTTACCTAAGATTTTCTGTGTTGGGAATTCCCCAAACACCACCCACAATTCCAAACTCATCCATATCCACCATGAAAAGAAAACGAAAACAATAACCCATAAAATTAAATAAAAATAAAAACAAAAGATTCAAAGAGAACAAAGAATCCAATACAAGAAAGATTGAAATTTGAAACATTATTTCTTTCTCAGTAAAACTTGAAACTTAAACTGAAACAAAAGGGAAAAACGAAGAAGAAGAATTCATAGCTTCCTCCACGGTTCCATCAGCAAGCAGAATCAGATTGGGGATGTTACCCCCAAATTTAAATTTTAGGGTTCACGAAAATTAGAGATTATTCTCCACTTAGGGTTCATAAAATTGGGTAATTTGAATTGTTTAAAACAAAATTAATCCTAATTTTCATAATTAGGGTTCTATAAATTAAACAAACATGAATCAAATATGGGTGACTCTGATACCAATTGTTGGAAAACTAATAATAATAATAATAATCCTGATTTTGATTCTAACGATCAAACATAAACATAATCCCATACTGATAAACATGCTGTAAACTGAATGCGAAAGCGTACCTGAATTAGTCATAATGATGATGTCTTTGTAGAGCACTATATTGATCTTATGGTTTTTCACCTGAAGAGTACCTGAATTTTCCTATTGATTTTCTCTCTTGATGGGGATAGAAAGAAAGGAACGGGACTGATACTTACGTTCTGTGTGTGTGCTCCCAGAAGGGGACCATGACCCCTTAAAATAACCAGAATTAGGTTAATTACTTAAGTTTTAGTATTTCCAATTTGGCCTCTCATCAAATTAGAAATTGTTCAATGGTTTCTACACAATTTTATTTTCATGACATATGCCTTTAGCAAAAACTTTAATTTAGTCAGATCACTTTATTATTTGACTTAATAAATAATGACTCTAACACATTTAAATTATGTTTCATATATATACATGACCCAAATTTTGTCAACAATTCGATTTAACCTATGCTAATGTTTAACGAGATGAATTTTAATTTAATTAATATTTAAAAAATTTAAGATATTTATACAAAATTTTATCTTTAGTATCATTTTTCAACTGAGTTTAAACTTTTTTTTTCAAATAAATGTTAGCATCATATATTTTTTCTTAAGTCTAGTATTTTATATATTTTTTCTTAAGTATAGTATTTTATGATGTAATGATAAGATTTTTTTAAAAGTGAAATAATTGGCATATTCTTTGCCCATCAAAGTCAAACTTCAACAAGAAAAAACAAATATTGCAACAAGTAACATAATTATAGTTTATAAATAATAATAATAAAAATGAGGGACAAAAGTTTTAGGTACTTCTAGAATTTCAACGTATTGAATATGTTTTTAAAAGATTTTCTTATTTGTAAACTTTAAATATATTTTTTACTTATTATTATTATTAAACTGAAAATTATAAGAATAATAGTTTTAAAATATGAATTTTATTATGAAAAATAATTTTAGTTATATTTATAATTATTTTTAATAAAAAACTAAAATATATATTTAAATTAAAAAAAACAAGTTAAAATATGTATAAAATATAGAGGAAGCAAAGTTACATGAAATTTTTAGAAGACATAATGAATATGTTAAAACTAATAATAAAGAAAAAAATAAAATTTCTAGAAGGCAACAAAAAACAAGGTACCATCCATCATCACCACCCAACTTCAGCACTTACATAATTTAATATAATTTTTTACACATAGAAGACATATTATGTAGTATTTATTCAATGAATTCAGATAGTTAATTTGGATTCCTGTACCAATGACTTTTATTCTAAACAGGTTCCTCCTTTGTCAAACATTGCCCTAATAAATTAAAATTAGTTCAAAATTTTAACTTATTTTAATAAACGTCGGCTAATCAAGATGGCAAGTCACAATCAGAGCAGAAAAAAAAAAGAAAAAAAATCCTTAAGGGATGAGAATCATAATTATTTATTTATTTATTTATTTATTATTATTACTAGTGACAAGTGAAGTGACTGATGAGTAAAACCTTAACTTATGTTGGGACCGAAATTGCCCTGCAAATACCGCAGGCAATTCATCCCTAAACTCATCACGTCCTCAAACTCAAGTGTTTTTTTTTATCTGAACTTTAAAGTTTAGCTATTTTGTTCAATGGCAGCGAAGAGCAAAATCCTAATTCTTGGAGGAACAGGATACATTGGAAAATTCATAGTTAAGGCAAGCGCAGAAGCAGGGCATCCCACATTTGTCTTAGTAAGAGAAAGCACTGTTTCTCATCCTGAAAAGTCTAAACTTATTGACACCTTCAAGAGTTCTGGAGTTACTCTGCTTTATGTATGTGCTTTTCAATCACAATTTCTTCTTTTTCATTCAAATAAAATTTCCGTACTATTTCAAATTTCAATCCAAATCGGTGTGTGTGATTTTGTAGGGTGATCTGAATGATCATGAAAGCCTTGTTAAGGCAGTAAAGGAAGTTGATGTTGTAATATCCACACTTGGTGGACAGCAGATAGATGATCAACTCAAGCTCATAGCAGCAATAAAAGAAGCTGGTAACATCAAGGTACATCATATTGCAACATAATTAACTTAATCACTCTACACAGTACTTCATTACAAAACTTGAACCAGACTTGTCATTCGTTGTTTCTCCTATCATCAGAGGTTCCTTCCATCGGAATTTGGGCTTGATGTGGACCGTCACAATGCAGTTGAGCCAGTGACTAGCTTTCTTGCGAAAAAAGTGAAAATCAGGAGGGCAATTGAAGCTGAAGGAATCCCCTACTCGTATGTCTGTTCAAATGCCTTTGCTGGTTACTTCTTGCCTACTCTCGGACAACAAAATGTCACGGCTCCTCCCCGGGACAAGGTTGTCATTCTAGGAGATGGAAACGTCCAAGGTAACGACAATATGCCAAATTATCTATTAGAGCTCTTCTGCTATGAAAAGATTGCATGTCTGTCTGCAGTTCAGTTGTCTGAGTAGTGCGTTTGAAATGTTTGTTTCAGCTGTTTATGTGTTGGAGGAAGATGTTGGGACTTATACCATCAAAGCAGTGGATGACCCAAGAACATTGAACAAAACTCTCTACCTCAGACCCCCTGCTAATGTTTTGACCTTCAATCAGCTCGTCTCCTTGTGGGAGGCCAAGATTAAGACTACCCTTGAGAAAGTCTACATTCCAGAAGATCAACTTCTTAACTACATCCAGGGTCAGTGTGTATAATTTTATCCATGTCCTAGATTCAAATCATTGAGAAAAAAAAAAAGGCGATAAGAATCAAACTAGAGAGTACATGATCAATATTTAAACTGTAAGGTGAAGGTAATTAAATATTTTTATGTTCAATTAACATTTACCAAGTTTTTTTCTCATGATTTTATTTCATCTCTGCAGAGTCTCCTTTCCCTGCTAATTTGCAGTTAGCATTAGGCCACTCAATCCTGGTAAAGGGAGATTGTACAAACTTTGAGATTGACCCTTATTTCGGGTTGGAAGGTTCTAAACTTTATCCTGAAGTCAAATACACTACTGTCGACAACTACTTGAACGCGTTTGTCTGAAATCCAGGGATTGTGTTATTAGCCAATAAAATTAGAGCATATTGTGAATTGCTCAAGAATTTGTACTTTGTCTTTCAATTATGCTTGTGTCGTCCTCCAAACAATCCTTCCATTCTGATGACTCTGTATTGTTGTTCGCTTAGCTTGGTGTTGTTGTAAAGTTCTTCTGATGTTAAAGTTCTATTACAATCTGTTTCGCACCATCATTTTATTTGAAATAACTCTAGACCTCTTATGATATTCTCTGCTAATTTGTGTACTTGCTGTATATAATTCTAAAACATTAAATTATTTACCTTAACTTTTAAGATAGTAGAATTTTATAATAAAAGGGAAATTGACATTATAGGGTTATTTTTATGTAAGGGGCAAAATGGAAAGAAAATGCTACACCACATGGTCAGTTTAGTCAAAATAAAAAAGTAGAGTATATTAGGGAAACGAGACACGTGACACATGATCTAGTATAAGTGAGTGTGCGTGGAGGTGAAAGAAAGAGAATCCACAATAGACAATCGGGGAATCACGGGAATGATATATGTGGGTTAAGAGGGAGAAAGAGGAGGGAGCATAAGGAATATTTTCTCTTTGCATGGTTTCGTCATGATCTATTCTGAATTTCTTTCTGTTTCTATATTTCTCTTTTTTGTTGATGTACTAAGCCTCCAAGGTTTATTTCCTTGTAAAGTTAACTTTAGTAAATAATACGTATAAAACACATTTTTTCCCTTTGTTTTTAACCCTTACATTTGGTGTTTTCATTGTCACAATGGCTAAAAACACAAGACTCAAAGAACTCTACAATAATATGAAACGAATGTTGGAGGTGATTAAACAATTTCGTTGGGATGGTGATAAACGGGAAGAGAAGAATGCAAAGTGATTTACTGGCTTAGATCTTACTATTGCCGATTTATATTCAAAACAAACTCATGGTGAACCAAGCTTAGGAAAGGAATCGATGTCCCAGCAACCATTTCAGATCCGCAACGTGAAGTTAGACTTTCCACGTTTTGATGGGAGTGATGTGTTGGATTGGATTTTCAAAGCATAATAGTTTTTTTATTACTATCATACACTTGAAGATCAACGCATCACCATTGTTGTGCATATGGACAAGGACATTGTTCTTTGGTTCCAAATGATGCTGAAGACCAAAATGTTTCACTCATGGAAGGGCTTCATTAAAGCTTTAGAAACGGAATTTAGTCTTTTGTTATATGAATGTCCTCGTTCCACTTTATTTAAACTCGTTCAATCTGGTTGAATGAGTGAGTTTTATCATGAATTCACTGTTTTGTCTAATAAAGTCACAGGGTTAACAACTTAGGCATTACTAAATTGTTTTCTGAGTGGATTGAAACCAGAAATTCGACAGGATGTTATTGTTCAAGGCCCAAATTCGATGCTAAAGGTCGTGTCATTGGCCAAATTATTTGAGGATAAATATGATAAGAAAGTTACTACCTACTTTTATCCCAATAGAGTCCCCACAAACTTTACCCCCACTTTTACCTACCCGAAACACCAAACCATTCTAACACACTATAAAACCTATCACTGTTAAAAAGATGACCCCTGCAGAGATGCAAATTCGAAGAGAGAAAAATTTATGTAATGCTTGTGACGAGAAATTTACTCCCAACAATCGATGCCCTAATAGGCATTTGCTTTTGTTGCAAGTTGATGACTTAGAGATAGAAACACTAGAACCCGATCCTCTCCTGGTATGGAGATGGTCCAAGAACCTGAGCATCATTTATCCTATAATGCATTAAAAGGAGCCAATGGATTAGGAACACTAAAATTTCAGGGACAAATATTATTGGATAGTGGCAGCAGTGGTAATTTTATCCAACCCATAATTGCTCACTTTTTTAAATTGCCCATAGAACCGGCCCCTCAATATAAGGTTCTCCTGGGCAATCGTAGTACTTTGATTGTGGAAGGTTGTATATGAGATTTGAAAGTGAATATACAAAAGCACGTATTACAAATTTTGGTTTTTCTTTTACCAATATGTGGAGTAGATTTGGTTTTAGGAGCCTCCTGGTTGGCTACATTGGGTCCACATGCGACAGATTATAGCACATTAACTTTGAAGGTTTATGTAGATGGCCACTTTGTTACATTGCAGGGGCACAAACCGAAGACTCCTACATAAGCAAAATATCATCATATGAAAATATTGGAACACATTCATGCGATTCAACAATCATTTATGTTGCAATTTCAACTTATGGATCCTGACAATGATAAGTTTCAAAACATTCTTATGGTGATAGAACCAGAGTTAGATCGGCTACTGCATAATTATAAAAGGGTTTTTATACTCCTTCTGGATTGTCACCGCAGAGAGACCAAAACTATGTTATTCATCTAATGCATGGTTCTAGTCCGATGAAAGTAAAGTCATATAGATAACCTCACAATCAGAAAAATCAGATCGAAAAGATGGTGAAAGAGATGCTTCAAGAAGGTATAATACAACCTAGCAATAATCCCTTCTCTTCTCCAATTATTTTGGTAAAGAAAAATGATGGGAATTGAAGATTTTGCACAAATTATGGCGTTTTAGATGAACTACTTGATGAATTATTTGGTGTTAAGTACTTCTCCAAGTTGGATCTTAGGTCTTGGTATCACCAAATCCTATTGAAATCTGAAGACAGGATGAAAACAACATTCAGGACTCACCATAGCCACTATGAATGACTTATAATGTCATTTGGGTTGACCAATGCACCTATAACATTTTAGAGACTTATGAACCCAATTTTTCAGCAACAATTAAGGAAATCATGTTTTGGTTTTCTTTGATGACATTTTGGTCTATAGCCCATGTTAGCTCTCTCACTTACAACATTTAGAGACAGTCTTGCAGATATTACAACTGCATCAGCTTTTTGTCAGACTATCTAAATGTTCCTTTGGCATGAAGAAGGTTGACTATTTGAGTCATATCGTTTCTGGGTCTGGTGTTGCGATGGAAAAAAATAAGGTGGAAACTATCATGAGGTGGCCTAAACCTTCTAACCTAAAGCAATTGAGGGAATTTTTAGGTTTAACAGGTTATTACTCCAAATTCATTGGAGGGTACGCAACAATAGCAACCCTATTGTCTGTTTTGTTAAAAAAGGATAACTTCTTGTGGATGAAGAAGGCTAAGCAAGCTTATCGGGATCTCAAATAAATAGTCACACATGCCCTTGTTTTTCCCTTTGTGTTGTTTCTTCCTTTGTTTTTAACCCTTACATCTTATTATTTTCTTTTACTAAAATAGAAATTTATAAGATTATTTTCCTTTCTTTCTAACTTTTTCATTTTTTTATGGGATTGTCTTTCCTTTTAATTTCGCATTATTCATCAGCATGTTTTTTTTTATCCATTTTAATCTTTTATTTCTTGTGAACTCCATAATAATAAATTAAACCTTTGATGAGTTTTTGAGAGTGATTCTTTACTTGTGTCTTTATTCTTCTCATTGACTTCAATTTTATTCAAGAAATATATATTGTGTTTCTCTTTTTATTTTATATCTTCAATCGTAGTGAGCACATTTTTCATCAAATTTAAAGTATATATTTTTTCTTTTCATATGAATAAATATTTTTAAATTATTTACATCTTTAATTACACATAGTTTATATTCAAAAAATATCTTATAATTTTTCTTTAATAATTATGCAACACTTATTAAATTTAATATTAATTCTAGTAACATATAAGACAAATAATAATTTGACACCTAAATGAATTTTAATTATAATTATTCTCATATATTTGATATAATTTGTTTTTCATTGTCAATTCTTAGTTTAGAAATTTGATTTATTTAAAAAATTATCAAACTTAAATAATGTGATTCGTACAACCATGGTCTATAAATTAACATTTTGTAAATTTGTGTTGTAAAGAAAAACTCATCTTCTATTTCGTCTTCTATAACATTTTTTTATTGATACTAAGATTTGCATATAATTTTTATGTGTCTCAATTCATCAAATTTGCTACACTTCACATATGGTCTCCACCATTTGTGCGAGGAAGAGAAAAACACTTGTATTGTTATTTTAATTAGGTTTATTATCATTGTAGTTTTTGTAAGATGATAAAACAAGTCAAACTGTCTCATTTTTACATGTTTTGCTTTTAATTCATCAAAAATGAAATTAGTTGTGTTAGTCAGTCATAATCGGGACATACTACAAATTGTAGTCCGTATTACCAAAAGATAGACCGATAGGTTAAAGGGTCAACCCAATAATATATTTTTTTATATTAATTTTCTAAAAAATATACTATAATTATATGAATAACTTTTAAATTTTTAATTTATTAATTATTATTTTTATTATATAAATTAAAAAAATAATTATATTTTGGTCTTAAAATATTCTATTATAATCAATAATTTTAGTTTGTTAATATTTTAAAATTATAATATTATAGTACATTTATATATTTCAATAATATAACACAAAAATATATAATATTTAAAATTATATTTTTTATTTTATTTATGTAAATATATTTTTTAAATGGTTTAGTCTATCTTAACTCAATGCATCTAATCCACTTTGTCATCCTTAAGTTTTTGAAATGAAAAACTCATTCACTAATATAGGAAAACATTTCAATAATATTGTCTTCTCTCATTAATTTTCATTACTCTTGTGTTTGTAAGGTATGTAGTGTTTATATCAAACTAACTTTAAAAAGATCCTTTATATTTTTCAATGAAATAATAGATATTACCAAAAATTTTAAACTAGTCTAGAATTAAGAACATTTTTGCCTAATAAATTTATTTTGTTAGAAATATCAAATAATTAGTTTTGATGTTCCTTAATTGTCACATTTTTTTTATCATTTGTAACTCAAATCCTCTTATCAAGTTTAGAACTTGTATATTTTTAATATTTTCCGTTTTCTTCATATTTTTTTTAAATAATTCCAATTTTTGTTTAAATGACTTTAGGATGATGAGAATTAATTTTGAAACACTAATGAATAAACATAATATAGCTTTATCTTTATTTTTCTTTTCTTTTTAATTTTAATTTAGACCATAATAAAATTTTAAGTAACGAGAATAATATAATTTTGTTCTACGTCTCCTCGTAAATCTAATCTCTAAATAAGTTTATATTTTATCATAATGGAAGAATTAAATATCTTTTTTTATTCAAAAAAACAATTATTCTTTTTACCAATGTGGAGATTTTGAAAAAAAAAATGTTAGAGATGTAAGAGATACACGATTACATAAGAACTCTAATATATTTTATTTATATACTTTATATACAAAATAAAATGTTAAATATTAATCATATCTAAAACTTAATTTTTAAAATTAAAATAATAATTTAATCATTTTTATTTTTCTCTAAACATAATTTTAAAAAATTATAATATAATAAAAAAATTAATAATTAATTAAAATAAAAACAATTAAGTAATAATTCTAAACAAAATATATATGTTATCACCTTGTTATTTTAGTACTTAACAAAAAGATATAAATTTAAAAGATGATGTTATTGCCTACTTCTATAATTGTAATTGTTATGTAAACTTTAATGATGTCCATCCTTCTTTTTCAACAACTTTTAATGGATAAACATACCCCGCATCACGTTTCTCCGAAATTTTGTTGTAATGTGCTAGTAATTTTGTTTTGTTTTTCAAAAAGCAAAATCTCTATTACTAAAAAATTCCCATAAAGACAATGTTAAATTTCAAATTATGAGAAAATAGGTTATGGTGGTTGGGTATAAATAATTCCGCTATCATCAGATAGATATCATGCCAACTTTACTTTTTATTCCGTGTTACTTAGATTTTAATAGATTCCACTTTTGTAAGGATACATACATGTGTAATGTTTTCTAAACAATTGGAAAATAATATTTTATTTTTTAAACATTTGTAATAATGCTTCTTTACATAAAAAATATATTTTACTTAAAGTTGTACTAATGTAACATACTTTTTAACTGAAAAATAAAATCAAAATCAAAATCTTATTAGAGTATCTCCCGTTCAATGTGTTTTGTGAGATATTTAAATTAAATATTAATTGCTGTAAAAAAAATTAATTTGAGGAATTTATGTAATTTAGTAAGTAGTTTAAATTTTGTTATAATTGTTTCATTAAGTAATTTATAAAAATAAATAAAATAAAATAAATATGAAAAGAGAATACATTTTTTAAAATTTATTAATTTGTTTTTGTTGAAATAAAATTAAAGATGAGTTATTTAAAAACATGTAACCCAAAAAATTTATATTTAACATTTTTTTAGAAGTAATTCATATCAATTGTTTTTATCAAAGATGTCCTTTCATAACATAATTTAATTGCGTACACTAAAAAAATATCAAAATAAGAAATTATGCTTACAAATATCACTTTTTTTCGTAAAAATATACTTTTAAATATAACTTTCCCATAATTTTTTAAAAATTACTCATTATAATAATTTAGAAAATAAATTACACAATTCTTATGCTTTTCCTATGATTATATAACTTAGATGACATTGTCACGGTGTAAAATATGGGGTCGAAAATCAAATCGATATTAAAAAAAATAAAAATCATTGATAATAATTTTAAAATAGTTTTAACTATAAAAATTTATAACTTATTTATAAGTTTAAGATAAATTAATAATATGAATTATGATTATATAATTTTTTGCATTGTATCTTTTTTATTTGATATTTTTTATAATAAATAATTTTATAATTTTAAAAAAATCTATTTAAAAAAATTAATATAAAAAAATCAAATTTAATGGTTTGAACATTATATTAAATAAAAAATTTACATTCGATCATTATGATTAATTCTAATGATTATTTATGAAAAACAATAAAATATATGGTGATTAAACTAAAATATATAGCAATAACTTGACATAGAATTTTGCATTAATCATAAGAAAATTTGGCTGTTTCTTTCAAACTATAAAAGGAAAATAATCACCTTAAAAAAAACTATTAGTGTCAAAAGAGACCATTTTAATAATAATAATAATAATAATAATAATAATAATAATAATAATAATAATAATAATAATAATAATATAAAACTATCCCACTTTTTAATCAATAAGTTCAATGAAAAATTTAACCAAAATTTTTCAAATAATATTTAGCACCGATGTTTTAAATTTTATTCCAATTGAAAAGAGGATGACCGTAATTTATTAGCAATTTGTTTTGTCTTGATTTCTTTTAAAAAGGAATAATTGAGGTTATTCTTTAATGACTAAATCAAAGTCAAGCTCAACAAGGAAAATAAATTATCTAAACTATAGGAACTTAACTATCATTATTAAAATAATAATATAATGAATAAATGAAAAAGACAAGAAAATAGAACCACATTCCAACTTCACATATAATTTAATATAATATTTTTATGCATAATAATCCTACAATATTTTCTAAACAGATTCCTACACCCAAATAAATATTATTTAAAGCAGATTAATTTTCTTTATATCCGGGACTATTTATTTTTAAGTCTATTTTCAAAATTATTTTTTCTATTTTATACAACTTTTCAAAACTATTTTTGTATTTATTACTTTCTCAAAAATATTCTTTATTAATATTTTTTATTCAAAATATAATATTTTTTAAAAGTTATTTATAAACAACTTTTACAAAGAATTACACAAGAAACTATTTATTTCAATTAAAAGAATAAATTATATCGTTTAGATAATATTTTCAATCGTGTATTGGTAATATCTCCAAACGTTAATGGTTGGAGAAGAAATAATGAAAAAAAAACAGAGATGGGAAATTAAGTTTTAATAAAAAATTGAAACATTAATATAATTATTGATAAATTTAATATCAATAATTAAATTAAATATTTTGTAACGAAGATGTGAATAAATTAAAATAGTGTTTCAAATGGAGAAATTTATTTTATTAAATGTAAAATGGTTCAAAATTAAAATAGTGTTAAAAATGGAGCAATTTATTTTATTAAATGTCAATTAGTTCAAAGAATTCATATTACATTTAGAATAATAAATGTAAATTTTTGTTATTTTTAATTCTTATCATTAGTTTCTTTGGGCTCGTTGAGTTCGTAATTAATTATTGTAGAAGTTTTTGCTCCCAGAAAATATCTACGTTACTTCCGCTGCGTGTGAACGCATAATCAAAATTGGAAAATGAAATTTTACAAGCAAAATTTATATAATGGTTTGTGATTGTCAAGATATCACCACTCATAAAAAAATATAAATGGTATTTTGACAAATTAGAAACCATATAACCCTTCAAACAACCTACTTTTATTAATATAATAATTTACAGAATGATTTAATAAAAATAAATTAATACTATTATTATAATATTAAAAAAGAGTTTTTATAATAATACCAAATAAGAAACTTCCTGAAGCGATTAGATTTGTGGATATTTGTATTGTTGAATGTTGACTTTTCTCTATTCAGTTCGATTCGAAACCTTCAAACTAGGATTATCTTCATTCTAAACTACGCCTTCATCAAACATTGCCCAAATAAAACTACAAGTAGTTCAAAATTTTAATTTATTTTAATAAACGCTACCTAATTCAACATGGCACATCACAATCAACGTAAATAAAAATACACCATTCATAGATTTTATTATTATATTATAGACAGTTGACTTAGATGAATTACCTTGGCTTATATAGGGACTGAAATTGTCCTACAAATACCGTAGCAGTTCATCCCTGAACTCATCAAATCCTGAATCTCACTGCTTATTTTGATCTGAACTTTAAAGTTTAGTTATTTTGTTCGATGACGGAGAAGAGTAAAATCCTAGTTGTGGGAGGAACAGGATACATCGGAAAATTCATAGTTAAGGCAAGTGCAGAAGCAGGACATCCCACCTTTGTTTTAGTAAGAGAAAGCACAGTTTCTCATCCTGAAAAGTCTAAACTTATTGACTCCTTCAAGAGTTCTGGAGTTACTCTGCTTTATGTATGTGCTTTTCAATCGCAATTTCTTCTTTTTCATTCAAATAATTTTCGTACTATTTCAAATTTCAATCCAAATCGGTGTGTGTGATTTTGTAGGGTGATCTGAATGATCATGAAAGCCTTGTTAAGGCAGTAAAGGAAGTTGATGTTGTAATATCCACACTTGGTGGACAGCAGATAGATGATCAACTCAAGCTCATAACAGCAATAAAAGAAGCTGGTAACATCAAGGTACATACATGCATAATGGCTTGTATTACAAAATAATTAACTTAATCGACTTCATTACAAAACTTGAATGAGACATATCATTCGTTGTTTCTTCTATCATCAGAGGTTCCTCCCATCGGAGTTTGGGCTTGATGTGGACCATCACAATGCAGTTGAGCCAGCAGCCAGCTTTCTGAATAAAAAAGTGAATATCCGAAGAACAATTGAAGCTGAAGGAATCCCCTACACTTACGTTTGTTCATATGCCTTTTCTGGTTACTTCTTGTCTACATTCGGACAACAAAATGTCACAGCCCCTCCTCGGGATAAGGTTGTCATTCTAGGAAATGGAAATGTCAATGGTAACAAACCATAGTTCAAATTAATCTATCACATATTTATGTTCAAGTAAAATACAATAGACATGCAATTGAATTGTCTCAGTTGGGTATTTGAAATGTTTGCTTCAGCTATTTTTGTGTCGGAGGAAGATGTTGGGACTTATACCATCAAAGCAGTGGACGACCCAAGAACCTTGAACAAAACTCTCTACCTTAGACCCCCTTCCAATATTTTGAGCTTCAACCAGCTCGTCTCCTTGTGGGAGGAAAAGATTAAGACAACGCTTGAGAAAATCTACATTCCAGAAGATCAACTTCTTAAGAACATCCAGGGTCAGTGTATATATTAATCTTCATAACAATAATATGATCCAAGTTATAGGGCTAGTACTAGATCAATATTTAAACTGTGAAGTGAAACCAATGCAATGTTTTAATATTAAACTAACGTGTAGGTGTACCTAATGTGTATGTTGTGATTTTTTTTTCCTGCAGAGTCTTCCTTCCCTACCAATTTCATTTTAGCATTATCCCATGCAATGTTGGTAAGGGAAGTTAGTACGACCAATGACCCTTCTTCCGGTGTGGAAGGTTCTGAAATTTATCCTGAGGTCAAATACACTTCTGTGGACAATTATTTGGATGCGTTTGTCTGAAATCTATGGAATGCGTTATTGCCAATAAACTGCTGCGCCCGATTCAATAAAAACCAAGCATATTGTGTATATTTGTTTTGTATTGTTTTTCTGTTGTTTAGTTACTTGTGTTGTCTTCAAAAGAGTACTTCAATACTGTTGTTTGCTTAGGTTGGTAATGCTTGAAAGTTTTTCTAATGGAGTAATATTAAGGTCCTGTCACGGTTTTTTAACACTCTGATTCTAGTGGATGTGTGCTACGGTTTAATTGCAAGATACATGAGTCATACATTACAGTAGAAGTATGATATATTAGTATGCAATGTATAAGATTTTGAGTTCTATTGCTAAAGGAACTGGTGTTTTAGTATGATTTTCTGGAAGTTGTAATAAATTAATATCAAAGTTTTTCAGTATATCTATCAGCTTAAATGAATTGTTGAAAGCATTGTAATCAAAGGGTTTGGTGTAAAAGGATTATGTAATGAGTTGTTAATGCCTAAAGTTAAATTATGCATTTCCTAATACTACCACATTTGTACTATTATAAAGGAAAATGATGCTACAATTAATAATATACAGAAAACAAAAACATATTTTTTGGTAAACCATGTTTCACAACAGCATGAAAAGCGTGCTGTATGAGTGTTGGAACAAGTTTTAATTTAGTGTCATTGCAAAATGAAATATGAATCAAACTAATTCAATATTTTCTATTTGATTTGATGGATTTTTTTTTAATTTAATTTGTGACTTTTTTATTTCATAAATGACAATAAATTTACCAGTAAAAATTAAATTTGCATAATTAAGTAACAGAGTAATAAAAAAATCACAGATCGTTATAATTAAATTACAAAGTTAATTTAAAGAACTAGATTAGTTTTTTATAAGGCTGGGATTGTTTTTCTAGCAGATTGGGTGGTGAAAAATAGTAGTGCGGGAACGAGTTAAATATATATATATATATATATATATTATTCGATTATAAGAGATTCACATAAATGTAATATTTGACGTTGTATTAAGATTAAATATTTTATTTTTTATTTAAAAATGGAAAATATTATTTTATAAAATTATATTATATTTAATTATTATTTAATAAAATATTATAAACAAAAAATATTTAAAAAAATTAAAACTATATATTTATAATTTAAATTATTTTAATAAAATAAATTTACATTTAAGATACAATAATTTAATATATAAATTGTTATAAAAAAATCTATTTAACTCTTAAATAAAAGTTAAAAAATTATTTTTTTATTAGTGGATAAAAATTTTAAATATAATATAACATAAAAAGTACATAATACAAAGAGAATAACATTTTTTTAAGGTTAACTAGTAGTTGAGTTTTATGATCATTTCCTACTTTCTATTTTTTTATTTAAATATATTTAGATATATCTTTCAAATATTTTTAAGTCATTTTTTTAGTATATTAAGTCGTTATAATCATGTGTGAATTTTAATTAACCATTATAATCATCAATAAAATATTAAAATAATGTAATAAAGTAATTAATAACGTAAAAAAACTAAACAAAAAATAAATTAATTGTACTAATAACAAATATTTATTATAATAATTATATGGAAAACATATTATCCAATAATTTGTCAAACTATGAAAAAAATTAAAGAAATGTTAACGAGAAAATGAGATAAAAAAAAATAAAAGTTTGGTGAACTAATTTAAGAAATGAAGAAAAAAAAAGTATAGAGTGAGGGAGAGAAAAATAAAGTGTAAAACAAGTAAAATATTCTTTTTTTTCTATCATTTTTCTTTTAAAATATGAAAACTCGCACCCTAATTCATATATCATCAATTTAATTTTTTCTTGTTAAACTTAAAATAAGGACGGATAGATATGATTAGTGTGATATTCTTAATTTTTATATTAAGAATTTTATAATATTATATTAATTTTATTTATAAGTAGTTGTTTTTATATTAAAAACTTAATATTAATAATTTGGATGCCGTTTTCTTAACAATTATCCCAAGTCACTTAAGTTTATTTTTTATTTTTTATCTTTTAAGACAAATAAAATTAATTATAAGTAATTATTCCATAGTGGCATTGGAACGATATGGCAAATCAAAATGGAAACAAATAAAATAAAATAAAAATTTCTGTACTCTTTCGGAAAATTTTTTGATCATTAAACCAGGATCAGAATCGATCATGGGTGAAAAAAAACGATAAAGTAGCTACATTTTCAAATAATATTCAGCAAGCAACGTAGTTTCATGTTTTATTCTATTCCAATAGAAAAGAAAAGGACCTTATTAGTTTGAACTTTACTCCATCTTGTGTATAATATAATATAATATAGAATATTGATATCATTAGAGTTGACTTAGATGGATAACCTGGGCTTTCATTGGGACCGAAATTGTCCTTCAAATACCGTAGCATTTCATCCCTGAATCATCGCATCCTCAAACTCAGTGCTTATTTTGATCTAAACTTTAAAGCTTCGTTATTTTGTTCGATGGCGGCTAAGAGTAAAATCCTAGTTGTGGGAGTAACAGGATACATAGGAAAATTCATAGTTAAGGCAAGCGCAGAAGCAGAACATCCCACGTTTGTTTTAGTCAGAGAGAGCACAGTTTCTCATCCTGAAAAGTCTAAACTTATTGACACCTTCAAGAGTTCTGGAGTTACTCTGCTTTATGTATGTGCTTTTCAATCACAATTTCTTCTTTTTCATTTAAATAAAATTTTCGTACTATTTCAAATTTCAATCCTAATCGGTGTGTGTGATTTGGTAGGGTGATCTGAATGATCATGAAAGCCTTGTTAAGGCAATAAAGGAAGTTGATGTTGTAATATCTACACTTGGTGGACAGCAGACAGATGATCAAGTGAAACTAATTGCAGCAATAAAAGAAGGTGGAAACATCAAGGTACATACATAATGGCTTGTATTACAAAATAATTAACTTAATGGATTTTATTACAAAACTTGAATGAGACATATCATTCGTTGTTGCTTCTATCAATTCAAAAACATAAAATTTATTCTATAATTTTATTTATATTATTTTTCTACACTAATATTATGATCATATAATATTTTACTCTAATAAATAAGGATTAAATAAAAGAAGTTTTAATTATACAATATTTTGTATCATTATACAAACTTATAATTTAGTTAATCAAATATCTTTATCTCAACATTCCCCCTCAAGTTGGTAAATGAATGTTATACATTTTCAACTTGTCTAATAATCTCCTAAATATCTGACTTGTCATAGCTTTGGTAAGAATATCTATCAGCTAATCTTCAAATTGAATATTTGGCAATTCCAAAATATTTTTATCAAGTCTTTCCTTGATGAAAAATCTATCAACATCCACATGTTTCATCCGATCATGTTGGACGGTTGTGAGCAATGTCGTGTGCAATTTTATTATCACAATACAACTGAATGAGACGGGTATGTGCATACTTCAAATCCTAGAGAAGTAATCTGAGCCACAAACCTTCACAAAGTCCACGAACCATTCCTCTAAGTTCAGCTTCTGCACTGGATCTAGTTACAACTTTATACTTCTTGTCTTTCCATGTAACAAGATTACCTCCTGCAAATGTAAAGTATCTAGAGGTTGATCTTCTATCATCAAGAGCACCTGTCCAATCTGCATCAGTATAAACCATCACATCCTTGTAATTGGAGTTCTTCTTGAACATAATTCCTTTTGTCAGGAGCAGCTTTTATGTACCTTAAAATCTGTATAACAGTATCTATGTGTTTTTCACTTGGATTGTGTATGAACTGGCTAACCACACTAAGAGCATAAGTTAAATCTGGCTTGGTGTGTGAGAGATAGGTCAATCTCCCTACAAGTATCTGATATTTTTCTTTGTTAGTTGGAGTTTGATCTTCTTCAATGCACAACTTCAATCCCCCTTCAATTGGAGAATTTGTTGGTTTGCATGTTATCATTCCAGTTTCTTTCAGTAAATTCAATGCATACTTTCGTTGTGAGAGAAAAATAACTGACTTTGATCTTGAGACCTCAATTCCAAGAAAATACTTCGAATGACCAATATTCTTCATCTCAAATTCCTTTGCCAAGTACTATTTCAATGTCTTGCGTTCCTCTAGATCGTTTCCCTAACTATCATGTCATCAATATAGACAATAAGAATTGTAATCTTTCCTTTCTTTTTCTTTAGAAACAATGTATGATCTTGGTTGCTCTGTTGATATCCAAAAGCAAGCATTGATTTGGTGAATCTACCAAACCATGCTCGTGGCTAGGGGTGTCAATATGGGTTCTAACCCGTGAGCCAACCCGGCTCACCACGGGTTCAAGCCGGGTTGGGTTGGATTTTTTTTATTTCTACCGATTATGGGCTAAAAATGAACCCGGCTCACTTAACCCACGGGTTAAACGGGTTCGAATCGGGTTATGGTGGGTTGGCCCGCAACCCACCATTAATTTTAAATTTTAAAAATAATTATAATATATATTAACCTTAATTAATAATTATATTTTAAATTTTAAAAATAATTATAATACTTCAAGTAACCCTAAATGTTATCCTGCCTCATCTTTATCCTATATTGTCGTTGCCGCCACAAGTCAAACCCTATCGCAAGACTACGTTTGTCGTTGCACTATCTTATCATTTGTTCATCTTCATCGTATCACTACATCACCGTACCCATTGTACCGCTTTCAAAGGTAAGAATTCGTACCATAACCTAAACAATTGGATTGATGAATCTTTATTTGAAAATTGTAGCATCTATACATTATTTGTTGTTTGTTATTGATTTATACGTATATCTCTTTAATATATGAATTTTTGACTTCTTTCTTTCAAATTAATTTACGGTATGGAATCGAAACAATGCATCAAGGTGTCAATGTGAATTGTGTTGGTGATGATTTTATTGTTAATGAAAAACCCAATGAGCCAATTTCAGTTAATAATGAAGATACTGATGTTTAGAAAGAAAGGAAAAAAGTAAAAGTTTCTACATCCGAAGTTTGGAGATATATATATATATATATATTTTATTTATATTATTTAAAAAAAAAATATGGGTTAGTGAGCCAACCCACCTAATCCACCAACCCGTGGTGGGTTGAACCGGGTTGTAAAATTTCTGGCTCACCAAAAAGTGAGCCGGGTTGAGCTCATCTATTTTCAGCTCAACCCGTGGTGAGCCAACCCGTGTGAGCCGGGTTGGCTCACTTTGACACCCCTACTCGTGGCGATTGTTTTAGTTCATACAATGACTTCTTCAACTTGCATACCTTCTTGCTATGTGTATTCGGGATCCCACATCCTTATGGTAGCTCCATATAAACTTCTTCAGACAATTTCTCGTGTAAGAAGACATTTTTTACGTCAAATTATTGTAAGGACCAATCAAGGTTTACAGTTAGAGATAACAATACTCGAACTGTACTAATTTTGGCTATAAGAGCAAATGTTTTAGTGTAATTTATTCCATATGTTTGTGTGTACCCCTTTGCCACTAATCTAGCTTTGAATCTCTCAATTGTGCCATCTGCATTAAATTTCACAATATACACCTATCGACATCCTACTAGTTTCTTTCCAATTGGACAATCTACCAATTCTCATGTTTTATTTTTTTGCAAAGATCTCATCTCCTCATTCATAGCATCCTTCCACTTAGAGTCAGTTAAAGCCTCCTGATCTCATCTCCTCATTCATAGCATCCTTCCACTTGGAGTCAGCTAAAGCCTTTTACATATTGTTAGGAATAGATACAGTAGATAATTGACTTATAAATGCAATATTTGAGATAGACAAATTCTGGTTACAAATATAATTACTCATAGGATATTTTGTCTTACTGGTGAGGTCAGGATCATAAGTAGAATTAGGGATACCTCTAGTGACACAATCTGGCAAAATTCTTTTTTTTTTTGTATTAGGTTCTTAAGGGGACGATTGGTGTGATATATCATCAGCATCAGCAGACAAATTTTTTATCTCGACATGCTTAAAATTTTCCTCATTATATAGTTGTTGATCATCATATTGTTACACATTTTCATCATCTCCTGATACAACTTTGTAATTTTCTTTTTCCAATTTCACCTCAATATCAATTTCTTGAGGAATAAAAGTCTGAACTTCATCATAATTCTCCCCCTAAATTTGAAACTCGGTAAAAAAATATATCAAGGTCTCATGAAAAATTACATCTATAGTAATAAACATTTGTTTTGTTTGTGGATTGTAGCACCGATATCCTTTCTGGTGATCCGCATAACCAAGGAACACACACCTTTCAACTCTAGGAGACAACTTACTTCTCTGATGTTTGTGTAAGTGAACATAAGTAACACAACCAAAAAATCTGTGTTAATTCAACAATTTTAGAACTTAATATTGCATCTGTAAGTGATTGAAGAAGTGTTTTATACTCAAGAGACCTAAACGATGTTTAGTTAATAGTGTATAGTGTATATGTGAGAGTTTATCCCTAATATATTACTGGTATGTGAGCTCCAATGAGTGCAGCTTGAATCACCTCCAATATGACAGATCTTTCATTCTGTCACCTCATTCTATTATAGAGTATTTGGACAAAATTTCTAATAAACAATGTCTCTGACTACTTAAAAAATATTAAAATTCTAAATACATATACTATATTATAATATTTTATTCTGACATAAAAAAGTGAATATTAGAAGGACAATTGAAGCTGAAGGAATCCCTTACACTTACGTTTGTTCGTATGCCTTTTCTGGTTACTATTTGTCTACACTCGGACAACAAAATATCACAGCCCCTCCCCGGGACAAGGCTGTCATTCTAGGAGATGGAAACGTCCAAGGTCACAACAATATGCCAAATTATCTCAGTTTTTTCTACAAGTAAAAGATAACACGTATGCAGTTTATTTGTCTCAATTGTGAGTTTGAAATGTTTGTTTAGCTGTTTATGTGTCGGAGGAAGACGTTGGGACCTATACCATCAAAGCAGCGGACGACCCAAGAACCTTGAACAAAACTCTCTACCTCAGACCCCCTTCCAATATTTTGAGCTTAAGACAACGCTTGAGAAAGTCTACATTCCAGAAGATCAACTTCTTAAGAACATCCAGGGTCAGTGTATATACCCTTGATGACAATAATCAAGTTATAGAGCTAATACTTAGATCAAATTTAAATTGTTAAGTGAAAACAATGCTATGTTTTTATATTTAACTAACGTGTAGGTGTACCTAATGTTTACGTCGTGCTTTTTTTTTTCCTCTGCAGAATCTCCTTTCCCTGCCAATTTCTATTTAGCAATATGCCATGCAATGCTGGTAAAGGAAGTTAGTACGAACTATGAGATTGACCCTTCTTCCTGTGTGGAAGCTTCTGAAATATACCCTGAGGTCAAATACACTTCTGTCGACAATTATTTGAATGCTTTTGTCTGAAATCTATAGAATGCGTTATTGTCAGTGAACTGTCTCCCCATTCAATCAAAAGACAGCTTACTGTGTATATTTCTATTGTCTTTCTCGTGTTTAGTTTAGTTGAGAATCCAAGTGCACGGAGTGAGTTGAATTTCAGAAAGTCTCGTATATTAATATATTGAAATTTAGAGAATTGTCATATTCTCTTATAGTAATAATATATTTATATTAAATTATTGAGAATATTTTGGTAAATGAATTATCAAGTTAAAGTATTCTTCACGTTAAGATATTTCTTAATTAAAATTTTAATAAAAATTATTTAGAAATAAAAAAAATATTTTATTATACATCTTATTTACGAATTGTTTATAAATTTTTCAAAATTATTTATATGATTTTTTTTAATTTTAAATAATTTCTTTAATTTTAAGTAATTCATATATAAAATTTATAATAAAATATTTATTTTTATTTTTAAATAATTTATTTTCACATGTTTATTTGAAAATGTTCTTAAAATTTAATTTCGTTTTGATTTTATTTAATGGTAAAGATTTTTCCATCTAAAATTTCACTCAGTTTTTCATATTTATTTATTATTTATTAAAAATATGATATTTAATCAACTTAAAATAATTATTTAAAATTTATTAATAATTTTATTCTTAAAATATATTTTGATAAATTTAAAAAAAATAATTATAAATTATTATTAAGGTTGATTCTTAAATTATGGAAAACTCGAAAAAAAAATCATCCATTTCCTTAAAAAAAAGTCAAAATTCACTAAACAGCATATTTTGATACTTTCGCTTATTATGCATAGTTATATTTTGACATAATTTTTCTCCTATCATATCTCTAAGGCACCAAAGTGTTACTCTAACGTGGTTGAAATAATTATAGGAGTCGCTTCCAAATCAAGCATAAAATAAGCAATGACACATTCAAGAATGATCTAAGAGTTTGGAAACAGTACTTTCGACTTCAGATTACAGTATTGTTATTCTTTTGGGTTAAAAGAAAATACATTAATATGAATGGTTTTTGACGTATCAGATAAATGAAAGCAGTTTTGCAAAAGAACAAATAAGGAGAACGACATCGGCTTTTATTGAGCATTTTGCAGAGCATGATACGAGTGCATTAGTTCCTGATATCTGAGAAGTCACACGAATTGGTTCAAATATTGATCCACGGTGGTGTATTGAACGTGAGGATAAGCCTCGGAAGCCTCAACGTCTCTGGCAGGATCAATCACATACACTGCATCTCCCCTTATCTGCTGTGAGTGATATAATGCCAGCAGGTAATTATTTGGGAATGAAAACTCTGCAGCAAACCAAAAACAAATCCATTTAATTGATGGCCGAGCGTATGAGTAAAGAGAGTGTGGTTAGTTATTATCACTGACCCTGAATCTGCTTTAGAACAATTTCCTCAGGAACATAAATCTTCTCAAGAGTCTTTCCGATTTTATTCTCCCACAAAGACACAATCTCATTTAAAGACAAATAGTTGGCAGGGAGTCTTATGTGCACGGCCTTGTTCAAGGTGTTTGGGTCATTCACTGCTTCGATAGTGTAAGTCCCCACATCAGCTTCAGTCACGTACGCTCCTGAAACATGTTAACAGCATTTGTTTATATATCTACACATTCAAACAATTCAAATAGTTTGTATTTGTAACTAACTGAACTACGCATTACAACCTTTGACATTTCCATCTCCTTGAATGTATATCTTGTCGCGAGGAGGAACAGTGGTCTCAATCTGTGCCAGGTTGCGTAAGAAGTAACCAGTAAAAGCATGGCAACATAGGTAAGTGTAAGGGACTCCCTCAGCTTCAATCACTCTCCGGATTTTTGCTTTTTCCTCGAAAACTTCTCTCACTGGTTCCACTGCATCCTGACGATCCACATCCAACCCAAATTCAGATGGGAAGAATCTCTGTTCACGAATGAAATTAACAATCAGAACTCAATATGTAGTCATAGAAGGAATTATAGGCTAAAGTAATTGTCACACCTTGACGTTTCCAGCTTCTTTTATTGCTGCAATGATCTTCACCTGGTCTTCAATTAGTAGTCTGCCAAATGAGCATATTACAACATCAACTTGTTTGATTGCGTTTACCAGACTTTGATGATCAAGCATATCTCCCTGCAGATTCCATTTAACAGATCAATTAGTAAGCAGAATCATTAGTTTGAAATCAGTTCAACTAATGAAATGAAGACAGGAAGGAACCTGGATGAGAATGACTCCACTATTTTGGAAGTTCTGAAGAAGCTCCTCCCTGGTTTCAGGATTGGCAGCGGTGACCAGCCTGGGCTTGTCGACAGAGGGAGGAGTGTCCCTGACCAACACATAGGTGGGATTGCCTGCTTTCACACTGGCCCATACAATGTGTCTTCCAATGGCTCCCGTGGGTCCCAAAACAAGGATTCTATCTTTTCCTGCCATGGAAGATAAATAGTTAGCTTACGTGTTTTGGTTGCTTTGTAGGTGTTAAAGCAGGAATGGGGTTGTGGTGGATGTAGCAATACGTGGGTTGGTATTTATAAGGCCACCACCATTGTTCTCCATGGAAACTCGCCCTTCATTTGCTGTGCAAGTCTAATGCTCCAAATAAACAACTATCAACATCCTCATTAGCGGCCGGCGGCGCCATGAATTCTCAGGTCCAAAACCAACCAATTATTTGACTTTCTTTCTTCTTCTTTTTTTTTTCCATCAAATCTGTTCTAATTTCTAAACATATATATACGATACAATATTGCCAAAGCTTAAGCATAGGAAACAAAATGGACATTATAAACAGTGCATAACATATAAGCACAAATTTTTTAATGAGTTTGTTATTTAATTTCTCTTTTTAATCATCTTTTTATTTTATAATTAAAAAAATACACATCCAAATATTACAAACGATTTTAATTTTTTCATAAATTACCAAACCAATGTTTAGAACTTGTTAAAAGAGACATTCACAAATTCACAATGAAGATGTCGGTCAAAGAAAATATGGGTTTGTGACTTATATTTATTGTCTCTGTAGAAAGAAGAAAAACAGTCAATTTTATGTAACATACTAACATTAAATAAAGTAAGTCAATGAAGATATCACGACCAAACATAGTTGTCAAACAAGGGCCTATTCAACGATCTTATGACTTGTGCTATAAAGTATGTGAATTTTAATTCGAGTATGGCTCAATTATAGTCATATTTTAATTGTGAATAAAAATGAAATAAATCAATTTAAATAAATTTGTAATTGAGTCGTCACTTTGATTAAAATAAATTATTAAATTGATAAGAAAAAATTTAAGAAATTTTTTTTAGTTTTTAAATTAATTTCCCAATAAATAATACAATAAGTCTTTATAGGAAGTAGAATTCATTCACCATCGTGTAATAAATAATAAAATAAGTTTTATTACCAAAGTTAAAAAATAAAAAATAAAACTTTATTATGAAGAGGAAACATAAGAGAGATGAATAATATTATTATAATCTAAAGTTCTAAAATGGCGATTAAATTCCATCCTTTGATGTTTTATAAATTTAAAAATACAAAAAGTCAATAAATCATCCTTTAAAAATATTCCAAATATATTATTAATACCGAATAATGAGAATTTTAGGTTGTATCGTCATTTTCTTCGTCTTGTACACCTAATAGTAAGAATTTGATGACATTTGAGTAGATATATGCAATCAATTTAGTCTATAAAAGAAAAAATTTAAATCACAACAAAACAATATTTTTTTTGGTTTGATTGTTTTATAGAATTTATTTTAAACGGCTAATATTAGAATAACCTATTTTGAAAAATAATGTTAAACACAATAACACCATTTACGATCAAAAGGTTGACCTACCAATATCTAGTGAAGAAAAACAAAAAGCAGGTTTAAATATTTTACTGTTTTAGATTATTTAAGATAAAAATTTTATAATATATAATTTAATCCTATAATTAATTAAAAAAAATAAAATTATATTTATTTATGTATATTATAATATTATTGTATTTTTAATCAATATAAAATATATATTTTTTATTTTAAATAATTTTTTTATTATATTTTTTATTAAATTTTACAAAATTGATGAAGACAAAAAATTATACTTAATTATATATTATAATATTATTATATTTTAAGTTAATATAGAATACATCTTTTATTTTAAAATAAATTTTCTAATACATCCTAAGAGGATTTTTTAACATTTTTATATTAAAAAATATATTTTTATTATTAATTAACAAAGACAAATCAAGGTCCTTAGAATGAACGTATAGATTGATACACTTCAACCAAATGAACACATAAATTTGATTTAGTAATAAAATAAAATAAAATAAAATATATTTAATTTTCTAATTGTCAAGTGATGACAAATTGTACAGTACGCCGACATGTATAGTATTGACATGTGATTTGTTAGACTCGTTAACAGTTAATAGTCCAAAGACATAGATTAATATAATTCACTGAAAATTAAATAAAAAGATTAAATCATAAAATTTTATAACGAATTGCATCGTTGGGAATGACTAGTTGAACTTAAAAGCCATCACTGGGATTTGAATTACATGACATGGGTCATGACCATGGGCTTCTGAGGCCATGACCTAAGAATATCCCATTACCAATACACAAAAAATGCTCATTTGGCATCTCTATCCATCTAATCCATAAACTCTATTAAACTCCATACCTTTCAATTAATATATATATTTGACTTTGAAAATTCGTAATAGGATTTATTTACTATAGAGAACATAACTTTAAAATGAATAATAAAGAAGTATTTATATTAATTTATAAACTATTTCAATTTTTGAATTATTATAAATAATTTTTAGTATATATGTATATTTTTAAACCAATAAATATTTTATTTAACAATTACTTCTCAATAAATTTAGGAAAAAGAATGTAATGTGGGATAAATATAAAATTTGGAGAGAAAAAGAAAAGAACAAAATAAAAAAATTATATTAT